TTCTCTTGGATTCTTCTTATAACAATTTTTTTAATTGTTTGTACACGTACATGGCTCCTCCGGAAATGCCGTTCTTGGAGAGCTCGAGTGCTTTATGGAATCGAGACCCTCGACGATTAGGATGCCGTCGGAAAATGTAAGGAAATAAGCGCAATTCAGGCGAGACAGGAACGCGACACGTCGCCGCCGACAAAATTGATTTAATACAAATTGCGAAACTGCACTGAATTTCGGTGACTTAAACACGACTGTTTCAGGAATTAATTCCGTCCCGTAAAATTTCCATGACAATCGAATCGTTGCCGCGAGGGAGTTCGCGTAATGCTTTCTTATTTCGCACCCGAGGATTTTGCTTCCAAGGTAAAAGAGAAGAGAAAGAGAGAGAGAGAGAAAGAGAGAGAGCCGAGATCGCGAATACTCGATTTTTCCCATCGAGAAAAATCGACTACGTCATCGCATTAATGACGCTCCATCGGTCCCGCTTCTCCGTGATGAAATTTTCACTCTCATCGCGTAGGAAAAGAAACGCGCGCTCTTTCAACCTATTTTATTTCTCAATTTATACGTCACAATGTTAAATCGAGATTTTTTTACAGACCGTATAAATTATTTATTAATGATATTGTTATTAAAGCGCGCCAGATACTCGACGTTACTGTTGTTGCCGTGCCGTTATACGAAAGAAATTTCATAATTAATCTTACGCAACCGTATACATCGGTCTTACAATTATATTACACGCAATTCCGTAAATTAGAAAGCATTAAATTGTACATTTAAATTAGACCACCTACTGTTGTGCGTTAATCTAAACGTATCTCAAAATTTCAAAAACTTATGCAAAATTAACAAAAATGAATGAACAGACAACGTGCTCCGTGGCGGGGCAAAATTATTTACTTGCACAAGTTTTTAATGTCGCGGTGTTTTTTTCTTTGCGATTCCACTACGCGCAGTGAAAAATTTTTCTGCGTACTATTTCTTGAATTTTTATTAAAGCTTCAATAAAAAATTAGTTAATTAGTTTTTTTTCCAGTGTAAAACTAGTCGTAATAATCGTTAACTTTGAAACCAAAGTTAACGATCGTTACGACTAGTTTTACACTGACAAAAAAAACTGTTTGCATTAATTGGAAATCTGACAGATTCGAAAGAGGTGCAAATCAGATTTAGTTAACGCTTATAATTAAATCCAGCACTCTAATTGAGAGATAACCAGAAATTCATTTGGGATAAAAGGAATTCTGATTGGTACGATCAGAATGCATTTTGCATGTACCTCCCGTTGGTGTAATCAAAACACATTTCTCGGTGAATATACAAAGCTACTGCTCTATTTGCAAAAGTCTTTATTACAATCGAGCGGAATGGGATATTGCTGTATCTAATTGCTGCATCTCGTCGCGGGAAAAGAATGACAGGAGCGACCGCGCGTGGCACGCGGGGTATCTCATCACACTTCGAAACGCCGTATCTCAATTTCAAATATCGTATCGACGTAAACGCTCGACGGCGAAACGCGAACGGCCGCGGCCGGCTTCGAAACGAAAAACGAGATACGCGTGGCTGTATCCCGAGGAGCGCACTCTCGAGTACCGCGCTTCTTCGCGGAATTTATGACGACGCCGCCTCAAATTTCAGTGCCGTTACTCATGCAAATTCGCCGACGAAAAATATGCACGGATGTGGACCACGTGTGCGGTTTTGTGTGCGTGCGCGCGCGCGCGCGCGCGTGTGTGTGTGTGTGTGTGTGTAAATGTGCGCGCAACCCACCTTTTCTCATTGCACCGCCCTGCACATCAAATTTCAACTCTCTTTGTATTCTCCGTTTTCCTACATTCATTTCTTGTCTTATCCTTCGCTTTTTTTTACTTATTCTTCCCGTACGTGCTTTCTGTTTCCCGCGCAAGTTGGTCGAAAACAATACCGGATGTATGAAAACGAGGATTAAAAAAAAAACGAGACACGGCGAGCTCTGGAAAAAATTAAAATCAAATCCCCGACGTGCAGGTGCTTGGTTGGCTGGTCTCAGTTGTGTACCGGCTACGTTCCCGGAATTCAAAAAAATTTCGGTCGGAGTTTACCGGCGAAAATTCCGACAATACCTTAGCCCAAATTTTCGAAATTCCAGTTTTGCGTGCCCGGATTACGCTGCTGCGCGCACATCCCACGCATCCCGTATAAGATCGTGCGTTTAATTAGTAGCGACTTTCAAGTTGGCTCCACAAGCAACCCCCCCGTATAGATAATTAAAAATATAATAAGTAATAAATATGATAAAATATAAAAATAATTTTACACAGATGATTAAGACAAAAAGAAAATTACATTTTTTAAACGTCGAATCAATTCATATAATATTCTCTTATAATAATTTGGAAATAAAATAAATGAAAGATATAATTTATTTTTTAAATGAATAAATATACCTTCCTTCATTATTAATTTTGTTTCTATAATTTTTTAAATGTATACACGCCAGAGAAATTAATGACGCCAAACGTGTCTGTATGAATTTGCACAAATTACTTTTGAATTCATGTGGATTGATTCGTTAATTCTATTAAAATCGATTTTATTTGTATGCCTGAGAGACTAAACTAGAATTTTGACGAGATATCTCGTCCATTTGCAGAACGTAATTGTACGTTACGTCGTAGCTAAGACGCAATTTGCGTAGCGCATTCCACCCCCTTTGTGCAACGCCACTGTTACGATCCCCCCGTGAAAGGGTCGGGATTAACTTCTTCTTACGTTCGTGATGGAGACACGAGGCGAGAGGAAAGGGCCATAGAGAGACGGAGAGCCCTTCCATCTTTCCGTGTACATACACACGGCGGCTAACGTGTGCACACACACCGATGTTTGTGTACAGACAAAACCACAGCGCGGATCCGCTCGCCCGGAAACTCGCCTGTGTCTTCAGTTACCCTGATTCGCTTCCCGGGGAGCAAGAAAGGTTTCCGCAAGGCTTTACGTCGCACATGTTAAATACATTTGTGCGGTATCACGCGGTTAACGATGTTCCACCGTCATGGAGTCAGCCGGCTAGTTAGCTGCGGCTTAAAAAAAAAGCGCATGAAATTCCATTGTAGACCGTGGCGCGCGCGCGGCTCTCTATACAAATAAAATTACTATCCACTATCGACCGAAACAAAAATTTTTTAATTTACTCGGTATTAAGGTCGCAACGAGTTCGTAGATTGAAAGCCCTCGGACTAATAAAATTATAACAATTTCAAATAATACGACGCGAGTATCTCTTTCGGAAACGTCGCCGGAATCTCTAAGACTCTATCACGTTTCTCACGTGCAAAAATAGATGCCGCGCAGACGATTATATTCTCGCAGTCCTCATCTTAATATAAAGGAATGCGCGCAAAAGGTGAACGCTCGTCGCTCGTTTTATTCGCATGGGAGCTTTTCCAAGAGGCGAAATAAATCCGCGTCGTTTCTTCGACATTGTCGCTCTTTCTTCTTCGTCTCCGCGTTAAAAGCGAATCGAAGCGATACGACGATGTTGGAAAGCACGTGTGCGCAACGGCGAGTCTCGCTCGCCTTCTGGCCGACACGAAGCAATAGCGGTAATACATCCCTTGGATCGAATCAGACTCGCGACGACGAGATAGATAGCTGCTGGCATCGAAGGACCTTTCAGGTTATTGCTGTCACAAGCAGCCGCAAACGTTGAAGCACGTAAATGCGCGGCTTATAGTGCCACCGTGCTGGACTCGATAAAATTTAGTAGCCGCGGTGTCGCCACTGGAAAGAAGTCGCCTCGGACGGAGTAGAATTTTTAAAGCGCCGTGAGATCGCAACGAGTGAGAGAGAGAGAGAGAGAGAGCACTTTCATTGCTCTTATTTACCGCCCGACAATTGCTGCGTTGATATAAAATCATCGAAAGGTATTCTGATTTTTCTTATGGGACAAGTGGTTCAGTATGTTTGTAAAAAGAATAAGCATCACTCCGTTAAAATAAACATTCTCGGAATCTCTTTGAATCTAAAAAGAAAAAAGAAAAACGAAAGAGAAAATCTAGTTTCCTTC